TTCCGGCTCTTAGGCCGTCGTGGGAGCCTCGAGGGCCATCTTAGGACATCGTGGCGGTATCCTGGGCCATCTTGAAATTTCCTGGCCTGCTGGGGCCCATGTGAGCCGTCTGGCACGCCTCGGAACGCGCCCCGAAGAAGCCCCGAAGAGGCCCCAACCAGAAGCCCAAATATTGCCCGATACGCTTTTAAGAGACCCCCCGGGGGGGCGCCACCAAAAAGCCGATACCTGTAGCTCGCCGACGAAAAACGCAAAGACGCTCCACAGCTGGCCAACGAGGCGTCTTGGACGCTCCTGGAGGCCTTCAAAATAGTTCCACAAGGCGCCCAAAGGCCTCCAAGAATAGGGGGGGGAGGAGGGGGAGGAGGAGGAGGGGGAGGAGGAGGAGGAGGAGGAGGAGGAGGAGGAGGAGAATGGAGGGGGGATGCGGAGCTCAGGTCAGCTGCTCCCCTGGCCCCCGCCGGAGCCCCCTCGGGGCTCCAGTCCCGGAGCCCCGCTGGGGCTCCATTCCCGGGGCCCTCCTGGGACCTCGTCCCCGGGGCCCGAACTGGACAGTAACCAGGCTGAATTACGTCAGTTCCAAGTCCAGGGGGGGAACCTCCGGGACATCCTTCTCCTCCTTTTCCTCCTTCAGATCCTCCTCCTATTCCTCCTCCTCCTCCTCCTCCTCCTCCTCCTCTTCCTGACTTCCCTTCTCCCTCAGAGTGTTCTGGAAGGGCCCTGCCGGAACGCGTTGTGCACAATTGCTGGCTCATCTTTCATGGCTCGTGATTGTCGGCGGACACCGATAGTGGGACCCACGTTCCCAAACGGACGCACCCACCGTACCTCAGTTCCAGCCCGTTCCACCGACAACGAAGCACGGCCACTTGGGAGCCGTTTCGAAACCGTCTGGGACTATTCTTGGGCTCTTGGGGGCGTCTGGGGGGAATCTTATCAGAGAGAGTCGGCCTCTTGGGAATCATTCTGAGGCCGTCTGGGTCCATTCTGGGCCTCTTGGGGGCGTCTCGGGTGCGTCTCGGGGCTTTCTTGGGACCCGCTGGCGGCCTGGAGAGCCGTCTCGGGACTCTCTGGGGCCGTCCTGGAGAACTCTTGGGTTGTCTGGGGGACCATTGGGCCGTCATGGGGGCCTCTTGAGGGCGTCTTGGGCAGTCTCTTGGGCGGTCTCGGGGCGGTCTTGTGTGCTTCGGGGGCCGCGGTGGAGCGTCGGGAAGCGAAAACGTTGTGCATGTCAAAAACGAACGTCTTCTCATGGGAAATTGAAGCCATTCAAGACTCTCGGGGCTCTCTTGGGAAAGCTCTTGGGCTGGCCTTGGGCGGTCTTGGGGGCCTCTGGGGTAAATCTTGGGGCCATCTTGGGCGTACGGGTGCCCTCGGGGCCTGTCTTGGAGCGCTCTTGGGGCACTCTTGGGCCGTCTTGGCTGCTCCAGGGAGGCTCCGGGGCCTCCTATCGGGGCCTCTTGAGGGCGTCTTGGGGGTCTCTTGGGCGGTCGTGTGTGCTTCGGGGGCCGCCATGGAGCATCGGGAAGCGAAAACGTTGTGCATGTCAAAAACGTACGTCTTCTCATGGGAAATTGAAGCCATTTAAGACTCTCGGGGCTCTCTTGGGAAAGCTCTTGGGACTGCCTTGAGCGGTCTTGGGGGGCTCTGGGGCAATCTTTGGGCCATGGCGTACGGGTGCCCTCGGGGCCTGTCTTATAGTGCTCTTGGGGCACTCTGGGGCCGTCTTGGCTGCTCCAGGGAGGCTTCGGGGCCTCCTATCGGGGCCTCTTGAGGGCGTCGTGGGGGTCTCTTGGGCGGTCTTGTGTGCTTCGGGGGCCGCCGTGGAGCATCGGGAAGCGAAAACGTCGTGCATGTCAAAAACGTACGTCTTCTCATGGGAAATTGAAGCCATTTAAGACTCTCGGGGCTCTCTTGGGAAAGCTCTTGGGACTGCCTTGGGCGGTCTTGGGGGCCTCTGGGGCAATCTTTGGGCCATCTTGGGCGTACGGGTGCCCTCGGGGCCTGTCTTAGAGTGCTCTTGGGGCACTCTGGGGCCGTCTTGGCTGCTCCAGGGGAGCTCCGGAGCCTCCCCTCGGGGCCTCTTGAGGGCGCCTTGGGGGTCTCTTGGGCGGTCTCGGGGCGGTCTTGTGTGCTTCGGCGGCCGTGGAGCGTCGGGAAGCGAAAACGTTGTGCATGTCAAAAATGTACGGCTTCTCGAAAGAAATTAAACAATTTAAGCCCCTCGGGGCTCTCTTGGGGAGGCTCTCGGTCTTGGGGCCATCTTGGGCGTACGGGTGCCCTCGGGGCCTGTCTTGGAGCGCTCTTGGGGCACTCTGGGGCCGTCTTGGCTGCTCCCGGGAGGCTCCGGGGCCCCCCGTCCTCCCATGGAGGGTCGAGGCAGCTGATTTTGGGTCGCGGCCCAGCCCTCCAGGGATACATATATATATATATATACACATATGTATGTATGTGTATGTGTATGTATACGGCTATGTGTGTATATCGGTATGCGTATGCATGGACATTCCTCTCTGTGCTTCCCACTCCCTCTCTTGCTGTGCCTCTCCCTCTCCCTCTGCCACTGCCTCTCTCGCTATTCCTCCTTCCCTCTCTCGCGGGCGTGCGCCGCAGCCGTCGCCGTCTGCCACGGAGGGGGGCGGGTCCCAAGGGAAAGGGGTCCCGAAGTTTCCCGGGCTCTTCCCCAGGACCAGCACTTTTTCCCCTTCCATCTCTCTCTCCCTCTCCCTCCCTCCCTCCCTCTCGTCCTCTCCCAGCCTCTCTCCCTCTCTCTCTATCCCTCTTCCTCTCTCTCTATCCCTCTCTCTCTTTCTCTCTCTCTCTCTCTCTCCCTCTCTCTTGTTTTTGTTGTTGCTTTCTCTCTCTCTATCTCTCTTTCTATATGTTTTGGTGTTTGCTCTCTCTCTCTCTCTGTCTCTCTTATGTGTACATGTGTATGTATGTGTCCCTCCCTCTCTATCTCTGTCCCTCTTTCTCAATATCTCCATGACTCTATCCCTCCCTCGCTCCCTCAGTCCCTCTCGTCCTCTCCCAGCCTCTCTCCCTCTCTCTCTCTATCCCTCTTCCTCTTTCTCTCTATCCCTCTCTCTCTCTCTCTTTCTCTCTCTCTCTCTCCCTCTCTCTTGTTTTTGTTGTTGCTTTCTCCCTCTCTCTGTCTATATGTTTTGGTGTTTGCTCTCTCTCTCTCTGTCTCTCTTATGTGTACATGTGTACGTATGTGTCCCTCCCTCTCTATCTCTGTCCCTCTTTCTCACTATCTCCATGACTCTATCCCTCCCTCGCTCCCTCAGTCCCTCTCCTCCCTCTCTCTCTCTCTTTCTCTCTATCTCTCTTCCTCCCTTTGAAGATATTCCTCCCTTTCCCTACCTCCTTCGATCTCCCTCTCTCTCTATCTCCCTCTCTCCCTTGCCGTCGTCGCCGTCGTAAACGGATCTGGCTTGAAACGTGGCCTTGATTCCGAGGCTCTTCCCAGGAACCAGATTTATCCCGAGTAGCCCTTTGACAGCCTACGGGCCCGTGTGGGAGGGGGGGGGGCAAGAAGCCCCGAACGGCGACAAAACTCAGGATCTGTCACCCTGAAGGCAACCCCATCCTCGTCGTCGTCGTCGTCCTCCTCCTCCTCCTCCTCCTCCTCCCCCTTTTCCTTCTCGTCGTCGCCCTTTGGTTTTCGGGTCGTGTGTCTCGGGCGGCCGTTCGAGGCGATCCGGGCACCAGCGAGGCGCCCCCGGCGAGGCGCAGCTGCAGGATGGCATCCGGAGGCGCGAGGCCAACATCCCTGAGAAACAACGAAGACGGACCAAAAACCTCAAAGCTCCTGGTCCTCGTCTGCCTGCTCCTGCTACTCCTCGTCCACGTCCTGGTCCTACTTGTCCTCCTCGCCCCCGGCACCCGCCGGTAGCACGTAGCTGTTTTATCGGCCTGCGGCCTCTGCAGACGTCCCGAGCGCTTCCCCTTGGGCAGTTTCTGGTCCCAGATCAATGTCTAATGGTCCCGGGGCACGGTAAATGGCCCTGGGGCCCGAAATCCACGAGAACGCCTAGACTACAACAAAACAAATCGTCGGAGATCTGGGTCCTCCTCCTCCTCCTTCTCCTCTTCCTCCTCCTCCTACTCCTC